GCCCTGTTGTGGTCGGCTGTGCCTGGAGGCTGAGGGTGAGGAGGATGGAGTATGGCATGAGTCTCTCCTGGCTTCTACTCTTTCTGCTGTTGTGGTCTAGGCAGGCTGGGAAGAGGAAGGCCCATCTTGAGAATGAGCGGTTGGGCTGAAGCTCAGCGTTTCTGTGGCAATGAAAGAGGCATTGGCCTTCCTCATGAGGACTTCAGGACCCACAGGACAGAGTCCAGCCCCGGGTTGGAGGTGCCCATGAAGCTCTTGTGCTTGGAATACCGTTAAAGATGAGAAGAGGGGATGCCTCGACCCCACGTTAGGTGGAGGAGTTTCCTTAGCAGCATCGAGCAATCCCTTCTAAAACTAGGCCCTACGAAGAAAAGAGACCTCAACATGACTTCTGCCATGATACAGTGTATAGTCCAGAGCAGACAGAATCCGTGCTTTGTCAGCCTTCCAGCAGCACGGAGACGGCTTGATGCATCTTGCTAGCTCAGTTTGACTAGCGAGGGTTGTGTGGTTGGGATTCAGTGAGAAGGAACGTGTCTTTCTCTCAAGTTACTTGTTAAAAGGTTCAGATTTGCTTAGTTCTAATTTCTCATAGTGATTCAGCTCCCTTGAGAAAATAGCTAGAAACCTGCTAAAGGTTAATTTTTTCTTTGTCTTTTTGGACATAATTGAAAATCTGTTCCGTTCATGGTGGGTTTAGCCAGTGGGCCAGTGGGGGCCTGTGGGACAGCGGTACTGCTGGGGGGGTGGTGGGGGGTGCAGGGAACCTGAGCCCACTTCCCAGGAGTGTGTAGCGGGGACCTGATGGGACCTCCAGCAAGCCTAGAATGGGGGTGCCCGGGCCATGCCGGAACTGGGTTACTTTTAAGACGCTGTCCAGCAACGTTGCTGCTTCTCAGAGAAGGGGGTGTGAAAACCAAGGGAGTTGTGCCCTGTGGAGCTGGGCGACCTCAGATGGCCATGAGCAGCTAGACCTCGCAAACAGACAAGACCAGACTGGGAAGTTATGCGCGTGTGCTGATGAAGACGGAGGTGGACAGGATTTCCATTTTATTTACTTATTTTTATTTATTTATTTATTTATTTATTTATTAATTATTTATAAGATTTTATTTATTTGACAGAGACACAGCGAGAGAGGGAACGCAAGCAGGGGGAGTGGGAGAGGGAGAAGCAGGCTTCCCGTGGAGCAGGGAGCCCGATGCAGGGCTTGATCCCAGGACCCTGGGATCATGACCTGAGCCGAAGGCAGACGTTTAACAACTGAGCCACCCAGGCGCCCCTAGAATTTCCATTTTAAAAAACAATCCATGGCATAACATCGTGGGAGCGGCAGTGGGGGGCTGTGGTCTGCAGAACAGAGAGACCGTGAGTTCATACAAATGTACACTTTTGCTTGGAAACCAGTTGGAAGTCTGTGTCCTCGCTGGTCATTCTGCAGACAGTGCTGTAGCGAGTCTGTTTGTAGCCAAGTCTCTTGAACGCACTCAGATTCTTCTCCGTCATTTCCTCTTCCTGTGAGTTGGAAGCGTCCACCTTTCCACATCCATCCCTTGGTGTTCTGAATTACCGGTAACAGAGGACAGGAGCCAAGCCGTGCTGGGCGCTACTCAACTCCTAGGCTTGTGAGGTGCTCCCTTTTTCTCTTCTGAACTTGGTGAGCATCGCCTGTGTCTCTCTGCCAGTGGGGTAGGACCTCTGTCCTTGTACTGCGTGTGGATCATGTGGATGCCACACACCCCCTTTGCAACCTGTGCGGGGCACTGAGTTAGTGGGGTCAGGTACAGGGCAGGGTCCTTACCCCAACGATCAGACAAGATAGGACATCTGTGTCTTTGAAGGCTGGGAAATATGTGGCAGCAGAGTGGTTCCAAAGAAAGGCTATTGATGGGTTCCAGAAGTTTCTTTCCCTGAAAGATAGACCACAAGTGAGTAAAGGAGTAAACTCAGGTCGTCTGGCTTAGAAGGTTTTAAAATGAGTAGATTTCTGGGCTTGGGTGTCAGTTTTTGCTTGGGCTGTCTTCGCCTGACTACCTTGGCATCACGGAACATCACACAGTGGAACATGGCTCCGAGAGAATAATAGTGCCCCATAGGGGAATTCCTTGGAAGCTAGGTAAAAGGATAAAATGTAGGTTCCGTAAGGGACCAGAACCTTAGAAATCACCCACATCACTTTATACATGAAAAAAATGCGGAGAGATTGTTATAGCATGATTTGTCCAAGGTCATAAAACAAGTTAATGGCCAAGTCAGGCTGAGAATCTGGGTCTTCTGGCTGCTCGCCTGGCATTGTTCCCCATACCCTGTTACCCCTGTAGTAAAGGGCAAGACCTTTCACACCATGCTGATCCCCAGTGGGCCAAGAAAGCCACTTTCACCATTTGCCAGGCAAATCCATTCACATTCAGAAAAAAGGCAGTATGGTTACCCAGAAAGTGTTCATTGGGGTCTGGATGGAGAGATTTGGTCTAGAACCTTCAGGGAGAGGAGATGGAAGTCCAAGGGTGTGGTTGGGGATACTTATCCTGGTGGTAGCTGCTGATGCCGGAAGACTGGTCACCCCAGTGTCCTTCTGCTGTTAGTCCTCCTGTCAGCCACCCCCCTCCCCCCCAAGAGGTGGGCTTCCCTGGAAGCTAAGAAATCACTAGGGAAGAAAAGATGAACGTGAATGAGGTGGAAGCCCATCACTGCCACCCACCACGCCTGACCATGAATGCATACAAGAGGCTCCCCTGCCGACCCGTTTGTGAGGGGAGCTTTTGCTGCTTCACAGAACATCTCTTAGAAAAGCAAACATCTGGGGCGCCTGGGTGGCTCAGATGGTTAAGCGTCTGCCTTCAGCTCAGGTCATGATCCCAGGGTCCTGGGATCGAGCCCTGCATCGGGCTCCTGGCTCAGCCGGGAGTCTGCTTCTCCCTCTCCCTCTGCCTCTCCCACTGCTCACGCTCTCTCTCTCTCTGTATCTCTGTGTCTCAAATGAATAAATAAAATCTTAAAAAAAAAAAAAAAAAAGAAAAGCAAACATCTGCCACGCCTGGGTAAGTGACAGGAAGACTGTCTACATGTGTGGACATGCACACGTACACACTCAGTTGCCTGGGCGCATGTCTCAAAGCATGGATTGCCCAGAATGTTCTCAGGACATGTCCCGGTGTCCAGCATTGTGAAATATATTTGGAGTTAAGAATGTTCAGTTAAAATGTTCTGTGCTGTTACTATTTTTCAATTGGGTTGGATCAGCCATGGCCAGGAGTGAGATAATATGGGGGTGGGGTGCCCCTACAGTGTCAGGGATGAGGGTGTGTATGTGAGTGTGAGTGTGTGTGTGTGTGTGTGTGTGTGTGTGTGTGAGATTGAGAAATTATTTGTTGCCTTTGGCAAGGAGGTAAGGGAAAAGCGAGCAAACAAAACAGCATGATTGAGAAAGAGTTCCGTGAAGGGGCCTGGGCGTGTGGACACGGCATGCGGTCTTCAAGCCACTGTGGCCCATAGACTGTGGCACTCGGGAGGCTCACCTGGGGGCCCGCATGGTTCTGACTTACCACTGGGTTCTCATTTGGGGATTTGGAAGGTGGTGGCAGCGGGTGGCTTGGTGTAGTTGTGGTGACCTGGGCTCCGAGGCTCAGATCTGGGTGCTGCTGGCTTGAATGTAGAGTACTTCCTCTCCGCACTCAGGGTTTTATCAGCATCCGTACCAGCCGCCCTCCAAACTTCTACTGTGGTCTCAGCCCATCACCGTCTGATCGCAATAGGTTGGTGCTCTAAGGGAGCCTTGTAGGCTCTACTCCATGCCCTACTGTCATCAGCTCCTATCTCTGGCTGCCGTTGCCTGCCCTGTTCCTCGGGGCAGGGCGCAGAGACAGGGGTGGAGATGGATCCTGCATCCGGCAGTGGCAAGTAAGGGCCTGAGAACAGGAGTGTGGGTGGGAAGAAAGTCAGCATTCCCGGCCAGATGGCCCACACGCCAGCCAACAGCTCCGAGCCTCAGCAGCCTGCAGCGCACAGACCATCTTCCCAGCGCCCACCTCTGCGCTAGCCTGCCCACTTCCCTGATCTGACCCAGCTGCACCGCTGGCCTCTGCCAGAGCAGGGGGTCTGGGGGGAAAGGGTCGGAGTTGGGATAAGGGCACAGCTGGGGGCTGGGATTGTGGCCGCTTGTGAGTGGGACCTCTGTCTTCCTGGGGTGATCCTCTGTGTCAAGCCCAGCCCACAGAGTTGCAGATTAGGTGTGCGAAAGTACTTGGAAAGCCTCACATGGCATTTGTAGAATGATGTTACCTGGTTTTCTTGCACTCTTTCTCTCTGTCGGGGCTCAACCTCACGCCAAAAAGCAAGGGAAGACTGAGGCGGGGCCTCGGGGGAAGGGCATGCATGTCGGACACTCACCGTAGTCCTCAGAACATCTGGAGGAGTCCATAAAGCCAACGAGTCCTTCCTAGGTGGTTCAGAACCTACTATGTGCCAGTCACTGCAGTGGGAGCTGGGGACACGAGTCAGGAAGGGACGGGCACGGGCCTCTTGAGTCTGGCGGGGTTCTGGCGGTGTCTTGGGGGAGCTGGGCACGTGCACGGCTGCAGCAGAGTGAGGCCTGATGTGACCGAGGTCAGCAGAGGCCTGGTGGCCTCCACGGATGCTCAGTGCCAACTCACCAGTGACCATCCCGTGCTGCCTCCTTCTGGCCCCGCAGTTGGATCTGGCTTTTTTCCCTTGGTCTCTGTGCCAGTGGGTAATGCAGTAGGAAGTGTCCTGTTCTTTAGCTCTTGGACAAGCCCAGCAGGAGACTCTTCCTTGGCAGCGGTCCGTGGGAAGAGGGGCGCGCTAGGCTGTCTGAGCCTATAGGGATGTGTCCATCAGTGCCCGTCTGCAGCAGCCGTGCCTGCCTTCTCCCTCCCTCCTGCTCACCTGCCGGAGGGGTGGCTGTAGAGCCCCCAGGTGCGGGTGGGCTTGCCTTCCAGCCAGCCAGAGCAGCCCCAAACCATCTTCTCCTCTCCCTACAGGAAGCTGCACAGTGGCATGAAGACGTACGGGTGTGAGCTCTGCGGGAAGCGGTTCCTGGATAGTTTGCGCCTGAGAATGCACTTACTGGCTCATTCAGGTAGGCGATGCTGCCCTGACTGGCCCATCTGAGCGCAGGCAACTGCCTCCGGCCTGCTGTCGCCCCCACTCAGAGCACGGATGTCTCTGCTGCCAGCCGGGGCCTTCGGGCCGCTGCGTCCCATGGATGCTCCCCTCCAGGTTCTTGGAGCAGAGGGCCCATCCTGATGGTGTGACTGTCTGCACCAACCCATCCTCGTGTTCTCTTGGGTTTCCCAGGGCATCGTGGGCACCCAGTGCCCTGTGTGATGGACTTTCCAAAGTAGATGACAGTTCCATCAGCACGACAGTGGTATCATTCGGTTCTCGAGGGCTAATGAATCTGACTCTTGGGTTCTCGTTATACAGGAGCCTTTAATAGATCGAGAAAGGTTGGAACACCGACTAGTTACAGCGTGCTGTTTTTTGCAAGTTAGACTTATCCGTTTCTAGTGGGGTCGGCTCTGTGGCTGCAGGGAGCTACGCCTGTGTTTGGGCAAAGCTGCTCTGCCGCGTGAGGCATGGGAAGTGGACAAGCACCTGACATCTAGCCTGCCCGGGTAATCTTGGTGGAGGGTAGGATACACACCAGGTCTAATGATGCTGCTTTGAGGCGAGGGGGTCACCTGCGTTCAGTTGTAGAGGTCTCCAGACTTCTCTATGGGGCCAGCACTCTCTTCCGATGCCCTTGCCTTTCAGCCTTGGAGTCCTATTTTGAGGGAGAGGAGAGGGCCATCTCCTTATGGTCACATGTTGACCTCCGCTGTCCTGGTCCGCGTGGCCTCCCACGCCTAGCCCTACAGCATCTGTGGAATGCGCGTGGGCTTTGGGGCTGGGCAGGTGTTCAAACCTTGTCTGTATCTGACACTTGGCTGATCTGTCACCCAAACCCCGTTTTCTGCATCAGTGAGGAACAGGTGTTGCCTAGCTAGCCCATATCAGTTTTCTAAAGAATCCGGTGACAGAATGTATGTCACAGGCCTCTGCATACACACCCTGGCATACAGGTGGTGGTCAGGAAATGTTGACTGCCTCTGCTTCACCTTCCTCTTCCCCAGTTCCGCACCTGTGACCCTGAGGCATGTTCCCATCACTTTACTCCAGAAGCTTCTATCTGGCTGGCTGTTTGCCGTCTGCCCTCGCACTGCCCAGACAGTCTTGCAAGTGCTATTTGCCGCTTTTCATGCTTCAGCCCACCACAGTCTTGCTGCAAAGCCTGTGTGACTCTGCGCGGCGTGGGATGCTCTCTCCCTGGCCTTCAGGGTGCCTCCTAAAGTTCCCAAACCTCTTCTTGCTTTCCATCCTTCTCCCTTCCAGGTCTGAGGATTGTGCCCTGTGAGGTGGCTGTCTGTCTCAGCATGTATAATCATCGGTCCCCACACATTTGTTCCATTCCTCCGCCCTGGGGGGTCACCCACTCCCACACATTGTTCCCCTACACCATCCTCATCCTACCCACCTCTCCCACGTTGGCCTGGAGTCCTGAGTCCAGAACCCCCTGTGTCCAGAATCTGCTTGGTACTCATGGACTCCTTTTGTTCAATTTTTAGAACATGCACCTTGTATCTTTTTGCCTCCCTTCAGTTTAGTAGGTCATTTGGGGTTCAGTGTGGGGTTTCAGAGCTGACTGCCAGCCAGCTTGGCCACCCCCCAAGTGCAGAGAGTGGGTCTTGCGTTTTATGTACTCCCTGCTGCGGGCCCCTGTGTGGCCTCTCACTGTGGTGCTGGACACTTCCATGTGGGTAATGCACTTTTCAGCCTGTGGTTAAAGCTCCCTTGCCCACGCCGGAACTTGGACCAGTGAGCATCCTTTCTCCTTACCTGTTCCTTGAGTCCAGCGCTCTAGCCAGACTCAGCTACTTGTTGGTTTGTGCTCTGTGTAGACGGCCACAGCTTGCTTTCCGAGCTCTGTGGCTTTGTTCACCCTAGTCCCTCTGCTTGGAATAACGCTTCCCTAGTCTTGCCAGATTGTCTAAGGGCCCTTATGCAATGCCATCCTTCATCCTTCCCCACCTTCAGCCGGGAGCTGTCATGCCTTCTTCTGGGTGTCCGTATGTCTTTATCTGAAGCTCTCTGGGCACAGTCTTTCCTCTTTGTGCTCTGGTTATTTATGGACGTGCCCCATCTCCCCTACTTGGAGTCAGGGATAGAAATTGGGAAACCTACCTCCTGACCATGTACGTGGTCTTGGGCAAGAAACATAAGCTCTTCTGTATCCTCATCTGTAAGATGGCAGCACTTAACCCTCCCTCAGAGACATTGTGAGGCTCACATCAGACCTTAGCCCTGGGCCTGGCACGTGATTGGCTCTCCGTAAATAGAATTTCCCTCTCGCTTTGTTCCCCTGATAAACTGTAAGCCAGTAGGGCCAGGGTCTGTCCCCGTTATGTGCAGCACATTGCTGGAGTCGGATGAACGAGCGCAGCTGGGGGAGTGTGTCAGGGGAGCTCCAGTCTCCCGCTGGGTCCCTCCTGCAATGGGAATGGCGTAGACTGTTTCCCAGGGGTTCACTGGGGGGCAGCCAGGAGCCCCCGCCCGCCCCCCCGGTCAGTATTGGCTGTGAGTGAGCCAATCTCAGCCGCGGGGGGGGGCGCCAGTGAGAGCGGCAGAGGGGGGCGGCACCACTTGCACATGTGCGGGGGGGCCCAGAGCCCCCAGTTCAGACAAGGTGAGTGGCTTTGCAGCCCCCCTTTGGAGCCAGCTGCTGCCTGAGGACGTGCACTCCCGTCCTGGCTGAGATGCCACTGCGGGGTCCTGTGGTCTCAGTCTGATGCCCCGGCAGTTTTGGGAGCTGGGTCCTGTCTCCCTAGGCGCTCTTCTCCATACCTCTCTTACTCGATACTGACATCTGATTGTGCCGAGTGACTTGCCTCTCTGAAATGCACTTGCCAATGCCCTTGGAAAAGAGGATTTGGTGACGGGGGAGGTGTGAGGGTCATAATCGTGCTTTAATTCACCTTTGCAGGTCGCTCATAGCCTTCTTAGACTCTGATGTTTCAGTTCTGTGCGGCTGCTTTCTGTCTTCCCGCATACCTCTCACCCCTGTGCTGGGATGTCTTGAAAAGAAAATAGCAACAAGGGCTTAGAGAGGCTAGACCACTTCCTGAGCTGTTCGCACCCCCTGAGAAGCAGTGACGGCCCCCAGGGGGGTCGGGGTTGGAGGGCTGGGCCGGCCATGCCAGGCCTTCTCTCGGATGCCAAGGCAGAAGCAGGGTTCTGCACATTCTGACTCCTCTCCCAGGGGCACGATAACAGAACCCTGGGATGTTTTAGAGGAGACCTCGGTGAGATGACGCGAGATTTTCTTGCTGCTGGGTTTTGAAGGCTCCCTGGTGGGAGCCGACAGCAAGCACGGCCCCTGAGGGTGTGCAGTGCTGACCCACTTTACAGACTGTCGCCCAGGGTTGGAGCTGCCCTGTAGAGCCCTAACAGAACAATCGGTGTTCCAGAACCCTGGGGACCTTTTTTTTTTTTTTTTTTAAAGGGGCAGGCCCTGGAGAAGTGAGCCTGGGATCTGGGTGTGGGTCACGATGCCCCTGGCTTCCCCTAAGTGTTGTTGCTGCCCTTGGGCAGGTACATTCCTTCTGTTTTCTACTGCTCGGAGGAGCTGAACGGGTGCTCCCCGCTCACTTCCTTGCTCGGCGAGCTGGCTGCCCCCACCCCCTCTTGGCTGGCGTGGCCTGTGTTTGTTATTGTAGTTCTGGCTTGGGGCCAGGCCTGGCAGGGAGCCAGCCTTGTGGGTACAGTGTGTACAGTGAGTGCTGAGCCAAGTTTGTCATCATACACGATTAATTTTTTTTTTTTTTTTCTCATCTGGTAGGGGTGGGGTGAAGGAGGAGGCAAGACAAGAGTTTCTCGATGCTTGAGAACAGGCCACACTGAATTTGCGGAGATGTTATTTGGGAACGGGTGAAACGCTCTTGCTCGTCCTTCCTTCTGGGCTCGGCCCCCTTTCTCACGTTGTCTTCCTGTCCTCTGCATTTCCCTATCCAAGGAAATCAGCCTGTACGAGGCTGACGATGTGAGGTTTTATTTTCAGTGACTAGAATACTAAATTTACGCTCCTAAATCAGTTTTCATTGTGTTGAAATTGACAATTTGTTTAATTAGAAGTTTGCCCTGTAGGAGGCCCTTCTTGGAGACAATTCTTTCTTTCTCTTCCTCTCTCTCTCTCTCTCTCTCTCTTTTTTTTTCTTTTTTTTAAGACCCTAAATGGTAGTAGTGAATGTTCAGTTTAATTGAAGTTTTTATTTCGATTTGAATGCGTTAACTAATCAAGTGTGTATGAGATAAACCTGATGATAACAATAAGTTTAAATTAACAAACAATAACCTAACTCATTAACTAATGAGATTGATCCGGCTACGCCCTGCATTCTCAGAGGTGGGTTTGGGAAAAGACGTGGTCAGGTGGAAGGGTGACCACCTGAGATGCTTTGCAAAGCTGCTCCTTCTAGAATGAGAACATGGAGTGCAGGATTGTGGCAGTGAGCGGGGCAGGCATCCGAGCCCCTCTGCGTCCTAGGCTCTCTCTGACGTCTCCGTCCCCACCCTTTGCAGCCCCATCCCTTGTGGGGATTGGTCCCAAAGCATCTACGACTTGCTGTCTCCTTGTCACTCCTCATTCTCACTTAAGTGGTGATTCCTCGCTCTGGGATGTGCACGCGGAGACCCCAGACCCAGGCGGTGACTCGGGTTGGTTCTGGGATTTGCTGGTGTGAGGTTTCCCATGAGGTAGGATTTCCCACAGCTTGGCTTCAGTACTGGTGGATTAGAAGTGAGCACACCCAGAACGGCTTGCTCCTGTTTTTGACTTGACTCCATGCTATTTAGAGGTTCACATGTTTCTGTGGCCTGCCCCTGTTCTGGGGGTGTCATTCATTTTTGCAGCCAGCACTGAGTGTGCCTCAGGTTCTGTGTACTTAGCCCTGCAGAGAGCTTACAGCATCCCTGCCTTCAAGGAGCTTAACGTCCGGTAGGAGATACTTGATTATAAAGTCATGATCAAAGACAGTATTGTGC